AGAACAGGATATTTGAGCTCATGCCAAACTAGCAAACAGAATGATATTTATTCAACATTGTTGGGGAGGAAAAAGAAATTTAAATCCAAATGAATGGGCCAACTCATAAATATAAATGAGCTAAGTTTATTATTGAGTAAAACCAATCAACCAAAACAAAACAAAAACCTGAATTCATACAGGTAGCCAGCAAATGGCTGCATAGCTATAACAGACATTCAGCTCTTTTTATATGGAATTGAAGCTACAATTCATTACCTTACTTTTATTAAACCTTTACGAGTTATTCAATTTGCGTCAGTAGTTACATTGAGCTTACACTGACATCCTGTTTTCATAACTCTTGATGATAATTCTTGTTATGGGTGGTTGCATTATTCTTTGTTCTTCACAGTTCTTTATCAGTACATCCTACAGTTGCCCCTGACCATGTATATACAATATACAATGAGTCATATTCTTCAACATTCCTCAGTAAGGTTCGATTAAGTTTAGTTTCTCATAGCATCAAAACTAAAAAGCTCCTGATTTAGCATATAGCAAAATAAATTCCAATAGCCAATAGAACTTCTGTGAACCATATGTGTGTGTGTATGTTTATGTGTAGTACTTTCTACAATAGTCTTGGTCCATAGCTTCAGCCTCAAACAAGTGACAGTCTTTTTGTTCTGAAGACATTAAGAAGGCCATACACTATCTACAGATGTCAGCAGTTAAATGCAACACATGAATGAAAAGGAAAATTAAGAGGTGGAGGAAAGCAGGGAAAGAAGAAAGAAAGAAATATATACATAGGGCAAGGGAAGGGAAAAGTGGACAGTGCTGTAATTATTGTCAGTTCTTCTGTGACAGAATAAATTTTAGAGCAAACTGGAAAACAGCACAGGGAACATGTTTCGAGCCAGTCAATAAGACTAGCAAAGACTAAGCCAAATTCAACTGCCGTCACTGATTGCATCATGTAGTTTACCTTCTCTGAAAACACAGCCTCCTTCTGTCCTCCTTCTGGAAACTTGGGCCCTGGATTCCAACAAACTCCTTGTTTCAGTTTCACTTTGGGCCTCCTCTAACTTATTTTCCACTCTCTTCTAGGACTTGCTTTAGAGCTTTGCCAAATACCACCTCCTTTCAATGTCCAGTTCTCAGCAATTGCTTCCCCTCCCCGCCATGCCATTCCTCCCAATGGTGTGGGTGGTTCCAGGAGAAAGGTGACATAAACAGGTTTCCTCTGGACTCCACACAGCCAAGCCAAATAGGAAACAATGATGGCAGCTTTCACTGTGAGGCCAGACATTTATTGAAAAGTGCTGACAGTCTGGGAAACCAGTCCCTTAGAGAGCAGGGGGCACTCACAGAGCCTCCCAGCCACCCTGCTCTGCCTTCTGCCCTAGTTATCAGGGCTACTCTAAGGTCAGTGAACCAGAAAGTTCTCCTCAATCTGTTTGACCAGACCAAGATAATTGGTTAGTTTAGGTTTTGTGGTGGTTCTTTGCTCCATCCTGATACAGGCCTCTGGGAGGGAAGAGGGAATTAATAAATTTGCTTTAATTTGACTTTTGTGACTAACCATAAAAGAAGTGTCATTTTTTACCTTTTATTTATTCTAGATTACCAATATCTTCACTTGGCACCTCATTAATAATCCAATGCTATAAGTTTGGAATCTATTTGAGATAGGAGAAAGATGATGAGTAAATAAAGATGTGAAAAAAATAAACCTTACTGGAATATATATGTATATATATATGTGTGTGTGTGTATATATATATAGTAAGGTTTATTATGGATATATATATATACACATATGTATATATGTGTGTATATATATATGTATATATACACACATATAAACATATATATACATGTATATATATATGATTTGCATTTTATAAAAAGAAAAAATAGATTTTGGATAAATACAGATCTGGCTCCCACATGTCCTAACAGAATGACTTAGGACAAGTTAGCTAACTTCTTCAAGCATTACTCAATTTCTTTATCACTGAAATGAGAGTGATGATATCTACCTCAGAGGAATGTTAATAATTATGAGAAAAAAATGTTTATCAGGCGTAAGTCATAGAGTTATTGAATAGAAATATCAATTCCCTTTCCTCTTTCTGTAATCCATCGGCCCAAAAGAATACAGATTTTTTAAAAAGCGTTTGAATTAATTAACAAATATATTTAAGTATGAAAACACTATCATGATCCTCAAAGAGTTTATCATCTAGTTGGGGATATAATACTAAATCACAAGGAAAAATAAGAGAACAATACAAGTTCACAATTTAAGTAATCGATTATGTAATGTGTGATTCTGGTTATTGAATTACAATTGTTAAAAAATAAATAAATAAAAATGGACTAGAGGTTTCTGTCAGGTAGCCCTTCTCTTTTCTAGAATCTTCTAGTATTCTGCAGAGTAAGAAATAAGTCTGGGTTGACTTAATTACATAAAAATATTAATTTACATAAAAATATTAATTTATATTTTTCTACCTAAAAATAGACTAACAGATATACTTGATGATATTTTTAGGGATGCTCCAGACACAGGCCTACTAATCCTCTGAGGACTAGCCCAAACTTTCTTTCAAAAACAAACCAAAAAAAAATCCTCTTAAGAGTCCATGTTAGAATTAACCTCTCCTTCCCTATAAATCCCTAAAACTTTGCTCCCACTTTGTGCCTATCATGGTGATTATAAAAATATACAGGCAAAGTTACCCAAAATAATCATTCAGTAAAATAATCCATCAAAAATTTATGAAATAAGTAAGAATTTCCAAGCTCTTTCTTACTTCCACTCAGCAAAGAAGCAGATACTCTACCAAATACCAAGAAAAATAAAAGCATGCAAATCCCCCTTTGGAACTCCTCCTGGGATCAAATTTCTATGGGGAAAAAATACAAACCCTTCATATTTATCTCTTACCTTTAAAGCAGTTAATAAAAAACATTTGCATTTTTAAAGTATTTACATGTGACTCATTAATTATGTTCCTTCCTTACTAATACAAATCCAAGATGTTATGATGTTATTTGCCATCTTTGTAGAAACTATTCTTCCAATTATTTGTAATAGCCAATTATTTGTAATATACTAAGGAATTATCATGCTTTTCCTCCTAAGAATTAGGCAATGTAATAGGTTTGGCAGAAAGACAAAATATATCAACCAAATAAGAACCAAATAAGTTCAGTTAAAATTAGAGGAGAATAAGAAAATTTACATATACTCTGCCTATTGTGTGCCAGACACTGCTCAAAACAGTTTATAATTAACTCATTTAATCCTCACAACAGTCCTATGGGATAGGTATAAATGTCCCCATTTTGTAGATAAGAAAAGTTAGGTAAGAGAGATGAAGTCACTTAACCTATGGTCACGGAGCTAATAAAAGAGGATTCAAACAAACTAAAATGAGTGTTCCCAAACAAAAATTTCATGAGCACTAGTGAATTTTGAGCAAGCGTTATAGAATCTTTAGTTAGTATAATTAAATAATAGAGTATTCTGTTAAGCCAGAAACTCCTTTAAATGTCAGTACATTGCTGTAAATCTCTCTTTGAAATAAATTAGTCTAGTGCTCACTTTGGCAGCACATCTACTAAAATTGGATTGATACAGAAAAGATTAGCATTGCCCCGGAGCAAGGATGACATGCAAATTTGTGAAGCAGTCCATATTTTTGTCTATGTACTCAAGCAATAAAGCCATTGTTTAACTAGAACTTACTCTTTTTATAAATGTTATATGTATATTTGAAATCACTGTTCAAGGGCTAAAGATATAGAACGCATTGGACCAAATTCTTTACTTGACTGGGAATTTGGTTTCATGAATAAATCTTGATTATTAGCTTTACTTGTGATTGGCCTCTTTCTCCTCAAGCTTGAGGGCAAACAAACAAACAAAAAAACCGATTAATCAAGATTTCCAAACTGAATGATACATTTTGCATATAAATTCTCTCTCTCTCTCTCATATCTATCTACCTACCTACCTACCTACCTGAGAGACTTAGAAGTAAGTCTATACTCTACCTAAGCCTGAACTGGAAATAAGGCAGACTTGACGAAACATTCAGACTTCTTCTCTTTTCAGATAGATGAACAGAACTCCCCAGCCAACAAATTGTGCACAAGTGCTTTAATTAAAGTGATGTGATTTCTCCCAGAATGTTATGGGTAGCCCTGGCAATGAGAAATTATCTAGAACACTGGTGCAAACACTCTCCAGAGGGGTATACCAGACAACCCATTCGGATGCAAGTAGAAAATACTAGGACATAATTCTCTTATGAGAATGAGTATATGTATGTGTATGTAATTTTAGTTTAAAATAAAATGTAAAAAATAAAAATTCATATTGACACTTGCCCTTGTGATTATCTACCAATCATTTGTCACATATGGTATGAAAGAGGGCCTAAGAGGTGAATGGAAAGTATACAATGCTGAGGGGTTGACAGTGGCACCCTTTCTCAATGGTTTGCTATATATTTCAGACCACATGTGCCTAGTTAAGTGGATTTACATATTCTAGTTCTGATTTCAATCTAACTTACCCTCACAAAATGAATGGATGACTAAAAAGCTATTGAAGATGGCAACTAATTGAAGATGCTAACTATGCATGCACAAGTAATAAGAAAACTGCGGAACTGACATTCCTATTCCTAGTACAAGCTCTTGTCAGATAAATTACAAACTATCAAGAATATTATTGAATTATCAATTTATGTGCATTATCATTATGATGTATGGTTAATATACAAAATAAAATAGACTACTATTTTTATATTTCATTTTCATTTCACTTTATTGATAGGTTGCACAAGTGTCCACAAATTGTATCTTTATGTACATGTACTTTTACAATTTGACTTTGCAGTTATTCCCATGAAGAGATAAAGTGCATTCTTCTATCCCTTGAATATGGACTTGACCATGTGGACAAGGTTAATAGAAATAATTACACAGAGACTTGAAAAGTTGTTGCACTTTGGGGCTTGCTCCTCTGCAGCCACTGCCATGTAAATAAGCCCGTTAACCGACTGGATGATATGTGGCCAGCTAACTGCCAGATATGTGAGTGAAGCCACTGATTGCCAGGTGACCAGGAAAATGTAAGACCATCTGAGACCAATAGAAGAAACTTGCAGACGAGTTATTCAAAATGCCAACCCTCAGGATCAGAAGCTGTTAAATAAATGATTTTTGTTTTAAGCAACTAAGTTTTGGAGTGGTTGGTTACAGAGTAAAAACTAACTGATACAGAAATTAGTACCTAAAAGTAGGGTGTTTTGGTAATAACCTGAAACATGTAGCCTTGGGTCTCTGAACTGGGCAGAGAACCCAATTCAGAACCCAGTAGCAAAGCATTAAAAACCCAGTAGCAAAAATTAGAAAGGGATAAGCAAACTATTAGTGGTCACTGGGGGAAAAAAAGTAAAGAAATTGCTATGGCAAGCCAGAACAATGGAAACATATATTACGTGGTTGAAAACAATTGTCAAGTTGGTTGCCCACAGTAACTCGGATTAAAAATTTATATATTTCTAATGAATTTATGGATCCTGCAAGATGATTTCCTGACAAAATGTTGAAAGTGTGGATTGGTTTCATTTAGTTGTTTAAGAAGAAAGAAAAGAGCTAAAGAATTTAAAGGGAATATATAGACGATAAAACTGCTGCTCATCCCTAATACCTTTGGCCAGTAAAAATCTTCCAAGTGAAAGAAGCCTGAGGCTAAATATCATATCAAGGTATGGCTATTAAAATTTTATTGAGGCATTTGAAAGAATTAAGATGTATCTAGTAAACTGTCTCAAAAGGAAGGAGGTCTAAGAATTTCAAAGATGTTATCCCACAACAGCCTGATCGACCCATAAATTCTCTCTCAAAAGAATTGTGGGTATAGACTCAAGTTAGATACATAAGAAAACTGAGGCAGGAGAGTTAGCATTGGGACATTTCCTCTCCCTTCCAGGATGCGGCTCTGAAATTTCTCCCTTGTCCCTTAATCGGCCCTCTCCCTGTTTTTGATTTCCAGTGTGAGACTCTCTTGAGAAACAAGCCAAGGCCAGGAGACAGGATGGGTGGCCTTGGGACATCCCTTCTCCCAGGATAAGGCTCTGGAGTCCTTTGTTCCTTTTTGGCTTATCATAATATCACTATGATATTGCCTGCATTGTAAGTACCACATCTCTGCCCCACCACCTCCAAACCCCACCCCCATCCACACCCCCACCCGCCCCTCAAGAAAACAAAAGCCCATAATCCAGCTCTGGGTGACTTGCTTTCTAAGTTTATAGCACCTTTCTCTTAAGTGCGTATTTTTACTTAAAAACAAACAAACAAACAAAAACTCAAGTTCCTGCTTGCTGTTTGTAGTGTCTTTGAATTCTTTCTTGGGACATAAGAAAAACCTGGTAACCAGAGCTCCAGGTCGGGGTCCCTCATTGAACTCCCGACCCATCGCCCCATCGAGCTCTCTGGCATCAAAACCACAAAGTTTTAAGAGTTGTGAAATCACCACACACTTGGATCAAGCAAATTGAGATTGCTCAAATTACAAAATCGCCTCTGGAACCCTTACCTTTTACTAGTAGGAAGCAATCAGAGAAAGCTATTTAGCTGTAAATATGGGTCCTTCCTGTGGAATGTGGAAAAGGAACAACCTCAGACGATAGAGCCAAGAGCTCAGAAAGTGGAGCTAAGAGCCTTGGAGAACAATGGATCAAGGAGACGAAACTAGACCTAATCAAGAAATAGATCCTACCCCCAGAATGAGGAGACCTGGCAACAGATTTCCAAATGGATTTTAGAATTGTTATAGACCAGTGGCTGCTATGTATTTCACATTCTTCCCCTTTCTGATGGCAGCATCTACTGTAATGATCCTGTCCCTGCCTCATCACTGTGAATTATGGAAGTGTTGGGAGAAGATAATTAGTGTTTTTTAGTTCATAGGTCTCTAGAACTGAGGAAATTCAACTGATCTTTTTTTTTTAAATCTTTCTAACAGCCTTTGTTTTCCAAAAAACAACTGATCTGATTTAGATCACAAGATCCCACAGTCATAATTAGGTGAGATTTATGGGGTCTTTCATGTGGAAGTGTGACCACTGGGGTGATGTAAAATCTCAAGTTGCCCCAGCGACTTGGGGGAGGAGGAGGATGGTGGCGTGTGTTGTCCCTCGGTTCTTTCCTGCCAATGCAGCAAAGAATTACAGATCGGCGAGATGAAAAAGTAAGACTTATTGAAAGTACATTTTAGAAGGAGATGGCAGCAGTTAGGAAGGCTGCAGCCCTGTGGAATTTGGGAGGTGAAGAGACAAGACAGAGCATGCCCCAAGGGAGGAGGAGCAGGTTTTCAGTAAGGTCATTTTAATCAACATCTGGCTGCTGTATAACTTTTTGCCACTGCACATGTGCTTACCCAGAATTCAGTCTGTTATAATTAGATTTATAAACACTTCCAGGCATAAACATAGTATTATAATGACAGTATAATGAGCATTAAATCTGTACAGGCATCTGTGGCCAGATTAAAGAAACTATCGATTATGACCCTCCTTTCCTTTGTCTCTGGGGATGCAGGAGGAACTATGTAATTACCAATAGTATAGTCTTTGGGCAGTCTCTAGGCTTGGCCCCTATTCCTTTGTTCCCCCTGTCACTCATGTCTGACTAGCTGCCTAACAGAAGGAATGGTAATTATTTCGTCCAAAGGATAGACTGTACTAGACTGCAAAAATGGCTATAATGCTTTGTAGTTCCTTCCACAAAGAGATGTCTATTTCTCCACTCATTGAATTTAGACTTGTCTTATGACTGATTTTGTTGCGAGATTCTCAAACGGAGAGACGGGACACCGAGGCAATAAGCAGGAAGCAGCTTTTTTTATTGATGCCGGCACCGGCTCAGCGGATTCTTATCCAAAGCCTGAACCCCGATTGTAACATGGCAAGCAGTTTCAAACCATCTTGTACTTCTGCATTCCCACACAGCTATAGATATTCCATATAAGGAAGGAGAACATAAGGAGAACATTGATTGACTGCCAAACTATAAAGAAACCGGCTTAATCATTTAAGCAGGTTTTTGGACTGCCGCGCCAGCCGGAGAGTCCTGGGAAAGGGAAGTGCAGTTGGGAACTAACTCGTTTGAGCAGGAAATGGTCAGGCAGGGTCAGGCTGCCACAATTTCTCTGTTAACATATGGCAGAAGTGAAGTTGTACCAGTCGCAAGCCTAGTCTACCTTTGCTCTCTCTGATCACGTCAACCATCACCATGTGAACATACATGGGCTACCTGCTGCATGATGAGAGGTGTGTGGCCCAGTAACACTTGTCATTAGAGCCAACAGCCAACCAACATAGAAGCAGATCTGCCTAACTGATTTTTTAGCTGTTCAGAAGACATTTGAATGAGCTAAATGATCCATTTAAGAAAAGCACCTGATTGATCCCAGCCCACATTGATGACCTAAGAATTGTGAAATAAACAAATGGTTATTATTTTAAGCACATAAAATGGAGGCAAGGAAAGTTGTCATGTAGCAATAGATAAGTGCTACATCCCATCTTTTCTCCTTTGGTCTTCAATTCTCTCTCCCCATAAGTCAAATGTTCATATAGTGGTGGGTCTGTTTTGGGCATTGTAGTCTGTTCCAGTAGTCTACTA